AATGGTAAAAACTGCGAGGAGCTAGGCCCAGCAAAGGAATCAGAGATCTGTAACACTGAAGCTTGCCCTACCAAACCTCCACAGGATTAAGGGTAAGTTTGCCTGGTCTAGTCAAGCCCTGGGATAAGAAAATTGCTTGCATTACAGACTTAGGGCGAGCTTGGTTTTGTCCAATTTTCTTCTAAACCCGCGGCCAGGAAGCATGCAAAATATCGCTTAATTAATTTGTAACCTCTGCTTTAGTTTCCCTTATGCTTAATAAAACGAGGTTCAAAGAGGTTTTGAAAGTAACTTCCTTCCTTTTCTTCCACATCAAAGACAGCAAAGAAGATGGCAATAAGGAACAATAAGGAACAAGCGAATAAGGAAAAAGAAAAACGGGAAGAAAAAGAAAAAGGCAATAAAGAAGAAGACGGAAAGGAAAGTGAAAAGAATGAGAAAAAACGAGGAAGCAACTTGGAAAATAGAAACGAAGGCGAAGAGGAGAATAAAGTACAATAAATGAAAAGTGCCCTTGATGTTACCGGACAATAGAACGGGTTTTCCCTTGGAGTGTCGAAATGTAATTGGTTTTGCATTAGAGCGGTTGTCAGTGTCATAAAACCAAACCCAAAGTAAACACTTCGGCCAATCACAAAGGACACAGACATTCCATTGAACCAATCAAAACTAGAAGTAATTACATGTAGCTGACAAAAAGCGCGGGAAAACGTGTGAGAGTGAGTCAGGATTGATTTAAGTTTTACTTCATATTGGACGAAGAAGGGCGCGAGTTTTTTGAGGCAATCGTGTACCGTAGTGATGCGAACCCTGACCAATGACCTTTCGACACGCAAATGAAAAACTCTATTACGCCAATCGATTGGCTCAAAAAGAGTCGTACCATTTTATGATCCAATCAGAAGTAAAACCAAAACACATCGTCATTGGTTCACCGCGCTTTGCGTTAGCTACATGTCTTAACTAAGAGCTTTGATTGGTTCATTGGATGGTCTGTGATCGGCCAGAGTGATTACTTTGGTTTTGGTATTACGACGTTCAATTGAAAACCACTCTTTTAAAAGGAAAGGCAACAAACACAGTCCATCTCTTCCATGAAACAAATTTCTTTTTTATTGGTTCCTTCGACTTACGCCTAGTTGCAATTCATGGCTACCGTCTTACTTCAACAATTTCTGTATGGAAAATGCTAAAGATCACGATTATAGTACTAGAACCTCATTAAAGTGTTTACTCAACTAGAAACACGATAAATGGTATCTAGAATAGAATTACTTTATCCCTAAAAGCTTCCTTGAAACAAAGGATAAGCAGCTTCTTCTATCTTAGTGGTTTGTAAATTTCACATGCGCAGAATGAACTTACAACTGTTAACTTATGAAAGCTACTTTTACTTAAATTTTGTAAATATAAGCTCGATTTCTATTAATTTATTGCTCTACATGTAAATGTCGGACATCTGCTACCGAATTACTTAGCTATTTTACAATTAGATTATGGGCTCACGATTTTAAAAAAATAAGGTAACTATTGTGATTGTTTACTTACTCACTATCTGCAACAATGGATAGCCGATAAGAGAACGGCATGCGCGATAGAACGCCCATAGATTTATATTAAATAACATTGGTTGGTCGAAAGGGGGGGGNGGGGGAGGGCTACTTTGTAAAAGTCCGCCAGGGTTATTTGGTGTTCCTCCCGCTACTTTTATGTGAGAAGAATACTGTACTACCGAAATCTGTAATCGATCATGTATAGATTAGAATTGACTCCAAACAGTAAAACGCTAGTGACACTTGAATTTATTAGTTCTTTGGGTGTAATATTCAAGGAGAGTTGTCTTTCAAAAAAGGAAAAATTTCTGAGTGACAAAACGGGCGACTCTGGCCAAAGTCCTATTACAGGCTCGATTCTGATTGTTGTTTAGCCTGTTCCAGGCTCTCGGTCAGTGGGGACGATCGAAAAAGCGGGCGGGCGACGAGCGGAATTGGCCTCTCCTTTTTCTCTACCAGACCCCGCTGGTCGCCCGCCCGCTTTTTCGATCGTCCCCAATGACTGAGAGCCTGGAACAGGCTAATTGTTGTTAAAAACAATGGTTTATGAGGGGAGGTAAAACCCCAGCGGCACGATTGAGTCACGTGTTTCTCAGTTGGGGTAGCGCAATTCAACCTGAAGATCCATATTTAATTTCGAATTCCCAAAATGGTCGCACGATTCTCGGCCACTGGTCAAAGGAAACAAAGATTGGCCTGGTATAAGGTTCAAGCTGAGACTTCCCACGCAGAAGCTCGTTGGGCACGTAACTAAAACTTTGCTCCCTCCACGTGGAAGGGGAAAAATTGCGTGACGTGTCAAGGTTCATACCCATATCTCACTCGCATTGAAGCTGAAAAGTGATAGGAGATCTGGGCTCTAGATTGGTTTAAGATCAGTTACGCTTTTGTCAGCCAAATAGAAAACATTTCTTTTAAACGTAAAGAACACTAATAATGCAACAATTATAGCTGGCGTCAAGTTGTGGGATCACGCAGCGTTCTTCCATTCTGATCTCTTGCGCTTCACTCAGCCGAATAGAAAACATAATTAAAGGACATATAATACAACAATTGTGGTTAGCGTCAAGTTTTGTGACTTTCACAACGAGTAAAGGGCCTGACTATCTCGATGGGAAATTAATACGCGCAATACAAGGTACTAAATTCAAGTTTTTTGCTGTTCGTTTTTTTTTTCTCTCTCTCTCTTCCCTCTCTCTTCCGTCACCGCCGAAAAGAAATCGATCGCACTTGGTTGCGAAGAGAACTAATAAATTCTGATCAGGATGACACTGTTTCTATCTGCATTCAAAAAGAACTTTCTGTTCTAAATGTGTCCAGGTTGTCGAGGGAACGGCAATTTATTACAAGAACCACGTGGAGGGTAACTAGTAGTAATTCATTCACGAACGGGTAAAATTATTTGCGTAAAAAACGCGTTACTATAGGGTCTTTATCGACTGAGCTGTACCACAGTCGAATCATGACTCGAAATAGTTGCTTTCAGATGTTAACAATTCTAGCTTTAGTCGCTGCTATCGTTTTTGTGGCTCACAATTTTGTGAAGTATGTTTTGAAAGGTAAGTGCGTTTACACGCTGTCTTTGCGGCTCGTGTTCGGAATAGCGTACCTAATTAACTGGGTCGAGTATGTTGTTGGTTCTCGTTCTTGCATGGAGGATTTTTACCCGGTTACACGGGTTTTAAAACAAACACCTTCCAAATACAAACTTGATCCGGAACCAGTGGATAAATAACTACTCCGTGGAAGTGCCATTTTATTATCGTAGTTAAAATATGCTCAAATGTGGCGTTCAGCAAAATTAGCCGGCGTTTCTGGCTTTGCTACCTTCAGTTTGAAATGTTGTAAATTGAATGTAGGGTTTTTTTTGGCAACTCTTCGCATTCAGCAAGTGCTAAGTTTAAAAATAATTTCCACGTTTTCAAGTCCAGTAATGTACACGTAATTAGAAATACCAAATACTTGAAGCAATTCTGCATTAATTAAAGAAGCGCTCTCATCGATTCAATGCAAAGTTGAAATTTCATCTAGGCCATCTTTGCCGATCGAAGGGATTGGAAAATCTAACTTTCGAACTAAAATAAAATGGGAATTCTGATTGGTTCTCTGGAAGATCCGAATTTCGCAAAGGCGGGACCGCTCACGATTTCGTTTCGGCGCCGTGGTTTTCTATGCAAAATATCATATTCAGCGGTCAATTTGAGTTTCAAAAACGACGTAAAATTAATTAAAAACTTAGTTAAATGCTTAACTCGTGAACAGGTGGAGGGGATGCTCTGAATTCAGTCGAATTCAATGCGCCACATATTTCGAATTCAATGGGCGACATAAAAAAGGCGTCAAAGTTTGTGGCTTGTTGTTAATTACACTTTCACTTTGTCTATAGATGTAAATGAAACGTCCACATCAACCAGTCGATTCACGAATTTAATGAAACAATCATTCCATTCGCACAATAGTTAGCCGGTACGAATAACAAAGGATCCAAACAGAATATGATATTACACTTTACAAGGCCATCACATGCTTTTTTCACAACTGGGCAATTTTATTTTCAATGTTTATTGTACTCTCTCTAACATGAACATTATCTCCTCTGGTTTGTACTTGTCATAGTTGATGGAGGCTACTCGCATTGGACAGTGTTTTCAGAGTGTACCAAGCCCTGTGGTATTGGGACGAGGTTTCGGACACGGACATGCGACAATCCCTCACCGAGGTTTGGTGGCCGTAATTGTTCCCGGCTTGGAGATGACACCCAAACATTCAGATGTAACATGAACCCATGCCCAGGTATATGGTATCTTAGAGGTCCGCGTCTTGACCGCAAAACATTTTTCACCTTTTGTTTGTTTTTCACCTTTCATTTAGCGCTCACCCCAGTCTCACTCATGCACCGTTTTGACAATCGCCTCAAAGCCTTCGTTTGAAATCCGCACCGGTGTTCGCCAAGAAAGAGATACGACTGTTTTGTTAAGAAAAGTTGTTGCTTTAAAACAGTGTCTTATTTAGGGGACAGTTCGCTTAAGACAAGGTCCACTTTTATTTAGAGATAAAGCTGTTTGCTTTAGAGAGCTCTGCTTTTAAGAAGTACTTATTTTTATTGAGGGGTTCAATTTAGAGATGTTAACCAAACAGTTAATCCCTGCAAGCAATATGATTATCTGTGTTTACTCACAACGCGCATGTAAAACCTACATTCTGAAGGGAGCTGCACGGTTTATTTAGAAATTGACAACTGTTATTGAGAAGTAACTGACATCGTTAATATTTTCGATGCGATGAAAAATCCTATGGAGATCATCATTTGCTACAACTGGTCAGTGACAAAAAGAGTCGGATCTCGAGTGACAACAACCTTAGCCTGCAGAACAGGCGGATTAGCGGGGCAGAGAGCGAAAACAAGACAGAGTACCAGAAATGAAAAGAATGTAAAAGAAATTAAGAACAAAATTTTGTAGCGGTAACTAAAAAACATGTCACGGTGGTCGAGTTTGTTTGTTTTCTGAATTAACGTTTTCATTGCAGTTGATGGAGGCTACGGCGAATGGGGAGAATTTAGTAAATGCACAGTGACTTGTGGGGGTGGGGTGCGGCATAGAACACGTGAATGTAACAATCCTAAAACAGTACTTCCCGGGAAAACATGTGAAGAGCAAGGACTAGGATCAAATGAGGAAATGGAGACCTGTAATGTAGAATCTTGTCCAGGTAAGGACCAAAGTCTTTGTCTTCGTTATTGTTTGCATTTTGCCTCGTTAAAATTCAGCTTTGCATAATCATGATACAGTCATGGACAAAAGGCTTGGGACAAATTCGTACTTGTGGCGCTTTTATACGCAAACCAAAGAATAACTATATGATATAGTATAATACATCCGTAATAGTATTTAACACATCCGGCTCTATTTTAAAGTTCTTGGAACATTTTTTCGAATTCTTCACATATAAACTTCTGTACTGCATTATTGAAAATAATAGAGGAGTCGGGTAGGGGTTCCCAGTAGCATCCCCCCTGAAACATTTTTGACTGTAAGTGCTTTACAAGGGTTCACAATTAAGTCAAGTGTTGATATTTCCCAGTTAGTTTAAGCCGAGTGTTGTTATTTTCCAGTTAATGGTGGATACACAGAGTGGAGTGAATTTAGTGAATGTACTGTGACATGTGGAGGAGGTGTTCGTGAGAGGACTCGGGAATGCAGCAACCCCGCACCAGAAAACAATGGTATAGACTGCGAGAAACTGGGCCCAGCAAAGGAATCAGACATCTGTAACACTGAAGCTTGCCCTACCGAGCCTCCACAGGATCTAGGGTAAGTTTTTAAGGTTTTCAGCCGTTGCAGATGTTAGCACACAGCGTACATTTCAGGCTCGTGGATCTGCAATTTACCTTGAGGCTTTGGTTTCATTCATTCCTCTGGTAAACGCAAGAATTCTTGCGATCTGTTGATTAGTTTTTTCTTATCGTTTGGTAGACAGGCTGCATTGTTCAGTAATATGATGAAGCTGTTTAAGTAGATTTTTTCCCTTCCATTTTACAGCAAACGAAATAAGGAAGGTGACAAAAACAGCACTAAGCTGGAATAATGACAAAGGGGAAGAGTGCAATAGGGCAATAATTAGGAGAAAGATGAAAAGGAAAGCAAAGAGGAACCAGCAGAATAACAGCATGGACAAAAGTAAAAATAAGAAATAAAAATGACGCCTCTGTAGTTTGAATAGAATAAAAAATATTATAATGGCAAACTTACGCTGCTATCCCCTACATGTAACCAATACTCTGAAGGCCACTTAGCAAATGAAAAACACGACATTAGGGACCGTTCATTTTTTATAAGGTAGGGGGGGCTGGTGGGATTTGGGGGGGGGCATGCGAAAAAAAA